GTTGGTGTTTTTTAAGAAGCTATATATATGTCGTACTTGTTCCGCAAGTGTGTCCCCTCCCTCAGTGGTACAGTGGTATGTCTGCGGACTTACAACGCTAGAATCCGGGTTTCGATACCCGTGGTGGGCAGAGCACAGATAGCCCATTGTGTAGCTTTGTGCTTAATTACAAACAAACAAACTGTTCCTTGCATTATGGATACTCAGAATAGATTCCACCTGGAATTCCTTCTCCTCAGATTCATTGGTACTTCAGGTTCTGGTGTCAGGGTTGGTCATTCTGTTAACTTCTCCACCTTCATTACCCTCCCAACCTGTGTTGTTTCCATCCAAACAGATCTGTGGAATGTTGATTTTTTGTTACAAGGCTATCAGAGAGTAATTGGTCAAGATGGTGGTAGAGAGAGAGTCGATCCCATTCTTCTGGGATTTCGTTCCCGTTTATTTGTTGTGCCCAAGAAGATGGGATATTGCTGGCCGATCATCAATCTTTCACCTCTCAACCAATTCTTAGATCCTCCCAGGTTCACAAAGGAGTCTTTTCTCAACCTCCGTTAGCATTTTTCACCAGGTTCGTGAATGACTATGTTCAGTGTTGCTGATGCATATCTCCACATTCTCATAGTGAAGTCATCCTGCAGTTCATGGACCTGCCCTTTGGCCTAGTATCTGCAACATATGTCTTCTGCAGAGTCGTACAAGTTTTTCTTGTTACCTTCATACTTTGGGCCTTTGTACACTCCATTATTTAGTTACTTCTGGCACAATTCACACCCAGATTCTTCTTTCAGAAGGCACCAAGGCTGGCTTTCTTGTCAGAGCCGAAAAATCCATTCTCCAGCTGACTTACAATATTGTCCATCTGGGTGCATTTTTCAACATGTTTTAAGTTGGGCTCAGACAACTCCCATTTGACTCCAAGCTATGGAATGGACAGTCAGGCTCTGACTTATGTTGATGGGGATGTTGGCATCCCTCAAATCTGATTCCTTCAGGATGAGCACATATGTGGTCTTTTCACTGGTGACTGCATGACCAGTGGACCAGGAATTCCAATTCACTGGATCATCCAGTCTCCTTCATTAGGAGTAACATCTTAGTTCTCGAGTGGTGGTTGGATTGGATCAACACTACCATTGGTGTTCCTATACAGCCTCCTCATCCTGAGTTTCATCTCTTCACAGGTGCCTCACTTCAGGGATGGGGTGCACATTTTGAAGGTCAGAAATTCCAGGGTCTATGGATGAGAGACGAATCTTCCTTCCACATCAATAATTTTTGCTGTCCAACAGCCAATGGTTCAAGATCTAGATCTATTGCAGGGGAATATCATTATGATTCATTCCATCAATTCCACAGTGGTCTCTTACATTTCCCATGATGGGGGCACGCGTTCTTGGGACCTTTGTTTTCGAACTTTGAATATTCTCTACTGGGCTTACTCCCACCATATCAGCCTCCTGACTTGCCATGTTCCAGTGGTGATGACTTTAACAGCAGATCACCTGTCTCGGCCCTGTTGAATTCTTCTGACCAATTAGATGCTCCACTGCGAGGATTTTTGGTGGATTTACTCTCAGTTCAGGACTCCAATGATTGACGATTTCAACACTCGTTGAAACTCTCAATTATAGGCGTTTTTGTTCTCCAGTACCTCATCCTCGGGCTTTGGCAATAGGTGCATTCAGTCAAGATTGGATGGGATTGCACCTCTATGTCTTTCTTCCAGTTTGTCTGTTACCCAGTTTTCTAGCTATGATTCGATCCTCTACTTGAGAGCTGTTGGTATCCCCAGATTGGCTGGCCCAACCATGGTTTCCTCTTCTACAGTATCTTCAAGAGGGTCCACCTCTGCCTCTTCCTCTTTGAATATTTTTGTTGAGGCAACCTCAATCCAACATTCTACACCCAAGCTTTCCCAAGCTCAATCTTTGTGTATGGAAGTTATGTGGTCCTTTGCATGGCATCGGGGTTTAACTTCTAAAGTTGCCTTGTATGTGTCTCAATCTATCCATAGACTCACAATGGCCATTTATCAATGGAAATGGCACTCTTATAGCCAGTGGTGTCTCACAAGGAACTTCAACCCACTTCATCCAAAAGTGCCCACCATATCTCGTTTTTTGATCTGGATTTTTGACTCGGGTCTAGCTTCATCTACTGTCACTTTATATAAGGCAGCTTTATCGAATACTTTACGTTATTCTAAACATTGGAAAGTTTTTGCATCTTTTGTGCTATCCAGCATTTTCCAGTCATGTAGTCCTTCTTCCCAAATGACCTTTTCAATTACCCACCTGGGATATTAGTGTGGTATTATATGCTTTGTCTCAACATCCATTTGAGCCTTTAGCCTCATATACCATGTATCACCTTTCCCTTAAAGGGTATTTTTTGTTGCTGCTGGCATGTGTATGTTGTAGGTCAGAGTTGATTACACCACTTGTGCACAGGACTCTTTATCACTCCACTTCTGTCCTGTTACACTCTCATAGGTCCTTTCTTTGAAAGAATCTTGCAGCCAGGGAAGGGGATAAATCCTTCTCACCAATTCTTTTGCCAGCTATATCTCACCTCTACGACTGATCAGACACAGATCATATGTCGTGTCCTTTCAGAGTCCTGAGATGTTATGTGGCTCACACTAACTGCTTTCGAGGTGATGGCACTCAACATTTTATTCATTGTGATCCTTTGGTTTCTCGAGATTTATCCCCAATTACTTTGATGAGGTGGCTTTGCAAATTGATCCATAGTGCTTATTCTGGACTTTCTTTCCTGGTGAGGAAACTTCTGAAAGTCACATCTCATCAGATTTGTCACATTTCTTTGTCTTTAGCTGCCCTTTTTGAATTGCCCACTGAAGGACACCATAAAGGCTGATATGTGGCCTTCTCCCAATACTTTTATCTCACGTTCTTTACATGATCTGGCACTTCTTCTTCTGAGGGTTTCGACTACCCCTGTGGCTATTTTGACAACATCTGCTAGATTATAAAGAAGAATAGCAATGAGTATCTTTTTTCCTCCTCTTGTCTCTTTACCTCTTGTTTTCACTGGATCCTATTCTGTGGGAGTATTGCCCAAATTTATCAATACTACCAGTTGCAACAAGCTCTGTAGAAATGACTTGTTCAATAAGACCATCTAGGAGCTCACCAGATGAAATTACCATATTATGCTGGCCTGTCACTCATGGACTATCATGAGTCAAGCTATAGAGGATCCACCCACATCCCTGCCAATTATTGGATTGAATAAATCAGGGTCAGTTTTCTTTTAAAAATTTAAGAAATTTGGTTCACCTATTGCACTGTTTCTAGAGCACTGTTCTCATGACTCCCCAGTGTGCATTACTCCCCAGATTCTACTAGTAGAGCAAGGGAGTCCTTACCTCACCCAGTTTCCAGTCACTGGGGTGGTTGGTAGAGGCTTTTCCTCTAGAGTGTTCGAGCGTTTTCCTCCACTCCCTGGATGTTTTTCCCAGATGTCAGTAGGAGTGGCACCAGCCTCTGTAGGAGTCTATTCATAATACTAGTTCAGCTTTGATGCTTAGCTATCTGGTTGAGGTATGCTTCTTTTTGATCAATATCAGTTTAGTATATTGTTCATGGAAGGAGGTCCACTATCTCCTTGTAATTTTGAATGCAGAATGGTCCCATCCTGGGTCCTTGGTCAAGCATAATGGTCCACATCCTCTCCATAATTCAAGTGAAATGCTCCTTGCTCACTCGGTTGGGAGTGAGGATGAATGTTCATAATTCCAGACGAGATGAGTTCTGTTCCTTTGGTTGAGTAAGGCATACATCAGCGTTTATTTGGTCTTTTCACATAGTATACACTGTTAACATCAATAGTTAAACATTTACTAAATTTTTATTTTCTTACAATTCAACTTTTCACTTTTCAGTTAATCACTATTAACCAGTACACATAGAATATTTCTCTCTATTATAAGCATTAACTTCCTTTAGTAACTACATTAATTGAACAAGAGAGATGCAATTCCATACTTACAGCAAGGTCAGACTGGTGTATATCTGGAGTTTGGAAATCTTATTCATGTTTGCTTGGAGAATTCTTGCTTGGAACTGTTACCAGCTCTTTGAAGAACCTCAGTTCTTCCTGGAGAACTGGTTTTTAGCTCCAGACACGAGTTTTTATAGTATATTTTCTCTGTATCATTTCAATTTCACAAATAGTATTCCTGACTAACCGCAAGTAGTAAACTGTGCAACTCTCCAGGCTAATCCAAAAACAAGAACCAAAACTCTAAAGTAATTGGTTACTGTGATGGTGAGTGTTCCAGGTTTCCTTTTTACTCGTATTGCTATTATTGGTCTGGAGTAATAGATCTCACATCAAAGCACCAATTTGAGATGCTATCATAAACTTTTCAGTACCCTTTACAGTGCTACTAACTTGGTGTCAATTACTTATCATTGTCAAACTCGTGACTAACATTTTTCTCAGCGTCCTCACTGTAGCTTAATTTTATTCATAACTCTTAACTCGTGATTTTCAATACCAATTAACCTCTTAACTGGGCTTCGCCTAGTTCTTGACCTAATTTCATAATACAGGCATCCTTACTTACCACATTTCTTCATATATGTGTGTCACACTCAGAAAACGTAATTCTCTGTAGCTTCTTTTAATTCTTGAACATCAAAATACTGAAGTAATTGTAAAATTCCCTCAAAAATATCCAATTATTTCAGGTTTTGTCTTTCGGATTTCTTTAGATGGAGAGAAACTTTGTCAGCTTCAGTGTTCCTTACTTTCTTGTCGTGATTCCAGTAATTTGGAACACATCACTCTATGGCTACAGATTGGGATCCAATCAAAAGTATATCTATATATATAACATTACAGTCCAATTGCCCCAGCCACCAACGTGGGATATAGGGACCAATACTCCTTAATTCCAACCCCGAGTTGTGAAACCTCGGCTGGCTGGTTGAGGCTAGCCTATAATGCTGATTAGTCATGTACTATTCCACCTTTGATATAGGGACTAAGTTCTGGGTGAAGAGCATACCTGTTCTGGATGTAGTACAGTTCTTCCACTCAGATACCAGTCTTATCTTGGTACACCCTGATCTATTCAGACACTTTCTCTATGGATAATGCCTCACTGGCACATCCACCTTCTGAATGTGGGATTCTAGCTATAAGTGTCAGTGGAGTAAGTATTATCAGAAATACATTTTCAATCTAGGAAAATCTTAACTTACAAGCTAAATGAAAAAGATAATTTAATAAGCTGTAAGTTACAATAATTAAATCTTCACAAAAGGTAAGAACAAAAGCTTTTACAGCTACATAAAGTAAAATAAAATAAATTAAGAATACAGGTATGAAATTTAAATATTGAAGCTTTGTTATAAAACCAGAGAGACTCTAAAATGTCTGCTCAAAATTCAGCATTAAATATTGTAAAATTAAACATCAAAATAAATTGGATATTAAATATCAGAATCAGTTATAACTTAACACAAATGAAAATTTAAATGAAAGAATTGAATAAGATGCAGAACTACATATATATATATAGTTTCAACATTTAAACAAAACCATAAAGTAAATTTAGAATTTAACATACTGTGAATTTCTACACATGTCAGTTAGATTACAAAATTAGAACACCTAGGACAAAACCAAACAAATTACAATTTAAAATCAGACATAAAAAACAAAGATATTTTGTAAAAGTCAAGATATATATTCATTAATGTACTCTAAACTCAAAAAAGATGATACACATCACTTCACCAAGTCTTGTATGTCTGACATCCTTTTAAAGGTCAAGAATGATGTTGCTGTCCCTTAAAGTAGACATCTTTTTGGTGATGTTGACTGCAATAGAAGTGGATACCTGATGATGACTTGATCCTATTACCTATTACTTGACTGCCAGGGTTTCTTCCTTTGACCATTTGATTTTTACTCACTTGCTCCAAGCTTTTATACCCCACTTAATAGCCCTTGGTGATATTTGTCTCATGACACTCTCCACCTACGTCAGTGCACCCTCTTTCCTGGTACTGTGTATATAAGCACCACATTCGGATAATGTTATCACTTTTTCTCGACAAAGCGCACTAACAGGTTTTCCAGTATTAAAATCCTTCAGAGATACTTTGACCACTATCAGTGTTATCAAGTTGATTTTCATAATAGTAATTTATAATAACAATAAAAAATGTTCCAATTGGTAAGCCGATCAACGTCATGATTTCCCTAATTATTTCTGGTATAGAGGCGAATCAGGTCTCTCCTATATTTCTGATACTAGCATCGCACAACAATTGGATTGGGGGGGGGGGGGGTTTGCTTTCGGATGAGACTGTCAGTGATCTTATTCGTAATGATATGGAGACATATTTGGATCTTTGGTGATCCTGAGGGGAGCTGTGAGGCCACAAATGAGGGCGATCCTTTACATTTTACAGATAATTCAGGTTCGCTTTTTCCAGCACCTTCTTTTAGTCTGTTGGATTTTCAGTCCCCCTGTGGGACAGTGTAGAGTTTGCGGACTCCTAGCACTAGGGGGGCCAAGGTTCTATTCCCTTGTGTGGACAGGGTGGATGGAACAATATTGTTTTTCATGTTTTAGCCTTTTATGAAGGGGGGGGGGGTAGCCAATACATATAAAGACACCCTCTCAGGTCAACCAAAATCCTCCATGCCAAGTTTGGTCCTGCTAGCTCTAAAACTGTGGAAGAAGCTCATGGACAAACAAACAAACAAAAATTCCCACACGACATGAATGAATGTCGGATTGTCTTTTCTCTGAAAAAGGTGCTGTAATGAAAATAAATGTCCTCTAACACTTTTGGTTAATATTCTTATTTTGTTTTGCTTGTTTTCTTACTATTAATAATATTAATTACTGAATCCACCATTATTTTTGTTTTCTTTCATTTCAACATGATACAAAATTTCTATAATGTTTTAAATGAATTCTAAGAAGCATTGTAACTGTCACATTTAACATATAGAAACGTATAAGTTCTGCTTACAGAGTAATCTTCATTAATATTAGTTATCGCTTTGGTTCAATTGAACATCCAGAAATGAAAGATAAAGCAGTTAAAAAAAAGTTATGTTGCATGAGATAATGATATATGTTTCAGTTGTAAAGTTATTTCTACTTCATATAAATAGGTATATTATATTGTAGTTATTTGTAAGAATTAGTTTTGTTGATTACATATGGTCCATTTATAAGACAGATCTCTCAGTTATAAATAAACAAAGAAAGTCATTTCGTTAAATTTTAGGATATAAAATGCAAGTAACTATAAAATTTGTCAAATTATATGAGAGCTTTAAAAGTTTACTCAGATACCAAAATTGTAGTTTTATGTTTTGGAGTAGACTACATAATTTGTTAGGATGATGTAAAATATTTAAATTTCTTATAAATTTTCAATCAAAATTACTCATTTCTGTAACATGAGGAAAAATGTTTGTTTTCAGTAATTCTTTCAAAGTAAGTTGTATATTTGTAGAGTTTAATTTGTTTCTCAGGTAGACAACTTCCACCTTCTTATATTATGTTTTTGACAATAAAAGATGATATATTATTGTAAAAAAGTTATAATTTTCTATTCTGCTAAATTATACACTCTTAACACATTGGTTTAATGACGTGCAAACTTTGAAATACTGCTTTTTGGTGTTTGTTCTAGAAACCTTTTTTCAACGAATTCATGGATTCGGAGAAAGGCAGGAAACTGAAAAAGAGGTAAAATATCAAATAGATTCTTCATTATGTTTAGGAGTTTGCAGAACAAATTGTAGTGTGAAACACTTAATAACTAAAAAATAAGAGTGACCTTGAATTCCAGGAAAGTGTAAGTCCAATTTGTAACTGTGATGACTTCACCAGAACTTTTAGTTAACATTGGCACATAGGTTGGTTGTGTGTTTCTTTTTCTTCTGATAGTATTATTGTACACACAACAATAAAACTTTTTGTCTTTGTATATTAATACAGGTAGTAGTTTAGTAGACAGTCTTTTTAGTTTAGTACAAGTGTTTGTAGTTCTCTTTTATTTGCTTTAATTTAGAAATACTTCAATAAACAATGTGTTAATTAGGAAATTTTCATCTCTCTGTAGGGAGGTTTCATATGCAAGGTAACTTTCAGAAGTTTTCAGCTCAAACAACAAATAATTTTAAAAATGCAAATATTATAGCATTTGTTTTGTTAAAGCTAAGAAACTTAGACTTGGAAATGAGAAAGAAATTTTATGTATTCAAATGCTTAAAATTATTCTCAAGTATGTTAGTAAACTTAAGAGATCAAGATACTGGGAGCAAGTTACTGCATGACACATGTTAACTTATCCTTTTTATAGCGAGATATATTCTAGTATAGTACTGTGTATGCTAAGCAAAAAATTACCCATTTTAATATCTAAGAGTAACTGCTATTCCACCTATAAAACATTTCAAATATTGATAGATACGTGAAATCTAAGGAGAGCTGAAAAACTGTTATTATATAATTATTCGGCCATATGTACTGTTACAAAAATGTATACCCTGACGTAGATCTTAAGGTTCATAAAAATTTTAAGCTATATGTGAAACTTCAGAATGTGATTAATAAATTTAATACATTCTTTCTCATTAAAACGTTTTTAAAATTCCTTAGCAAACAGAGATTGTAACTTGCACTGAAGAAAACAGAATGTTGCATTGGATCACTATGTTTTTTTGTTGTTGTTATGGTGCTGACATTAAATTCAGTCTCTTGTTACTAATTTTGTCTAAGAATATTCCATTAGGTAGATGGCACTGTTTGTTATAAAAATAGCACCCATTTTACTTTTTGTAAGAAACTGTACTAAAGTCATTGAAAATATGTGTCATTGAAGTTTATTAACTCTGATACAACTTCTCACAAATGTTTGCTGAATCACTTGATTTTGTTATCTTACTGCATATGCAACTTATGATGTAGCATGTATAATCCTCATAAAATGGTTGTTTACTTTTTATTTGCAACCAAAGTCATCATTCACAGTAAGCTAGTTTCATATAAGAATTTCATTTTAATATCTTGATGAATAAATGAGAAAAAGGTGGTTATAAATCAGTAAAGTTAAAGTTTTCAAATAGGGTATGTAATTTAATATATATTATAGAGGAATTAAAAACTAACACTGAGAGATTAATAACAATTAAATTGACTTCAAAACTTAATACATTTGATAAATTATGAAACAACAGTAATTTTATACATGTTTACTATACACCCTGGAAATTAAATATTATCATAAATAAAAGCAAAGATATTATTAATTTGGCTTAATCAAATATTTCTTCTCTGTGTTATAGATTACATTATTTTTTTAATTATTTTCAATTTTATGGCATGTAAAATAAGTGGATTATTTACTAGGAACAGACACCAGTTTTAGGGCCAGAAGCGAGAAGAATCTCTATGCTTGGTTTGTTATCTGGTGAGTACAAATCTTGCACAGAAGGTATGCAATAAATATGATTAAGTTATATATAATATGTTATTTAAAGTTTTGATGTAAGTGTATGAATATTAATAATAACTCAAAGTGTGATGATTTCTTGTGAATCAACTACTTGAACACTAGTCAGGTGTTATTTATAAACTTTGTACTTATTGCAGTGTAATCTTTGTTTTTGAGTCAACAATTTTAATAATCCAGTTATGTGTTATAAACTCTATAGTTATTGCCGTGTGGTAATTGTTTTCAATTCAACAATATTAATAATTTCTGGGTTTGCACAGGTCCTTAAAGTTCCAAAAAATGCTTGAATTTTGCTTAATGAAATTTAAGTACTGGAAAATCAATGATTTTCTTGGAAAGGTCCTGAAAAGTCCCTGAAAAAAAATTATTTCTTGGTACTGTATATAAGTACCTCATTTAGTTAATTTTATCACATTTTCCTGACAAAGCCTCACTAACGGGTTTACTAGTATTACAATTGTTCAGAGATACTTTGAAAATTTTCATGTTATCTAGTTGATTTTCTTATAGTAATAATTAAAAAATAATAATAATATTCTACTTCTGATTGCCAAGCTGATTATGATATGAATTTCGAGATTACTATTTCTGGCACACAGGCAAATTGGTTCTCTCCTCTCAAATGTCTGATGTCAAGCTATGCACAACAATCGGAGGGGGCTGACTCTCAGTGATCTTATTTGTAATAAGATGGAGACATATTTGGATCCATGTTGGTCCTCCAAAGGGCTCTGAGACTGTAATTGAGGGCATTTTGGAGAAACTTTAGATTCACTTTTTCCCTGTGCCTCCTGCGTGGTGGTCTGGGGTTCTAATCATTATGGTGAATGCAGCAGATGGCCCGAAGTTGCTTGTTCTGACAAAACGACTTGCTTTACCTCAAAAACTGCTGTTCCAATCAAAAGTAGTCCACACAGTCTTTATATGACCTATAAAAACGAAAAGGAGGCCACTTTGGGATAAGCT